CAAGTGAAGACTTTACCAACATTTTGCCTTCCCAGGCCTATGAAAAAGGTACAGTGATCAGGTTATACTGAATTAACAAAGTATTTTTGCCCTGATTCCTAGAGTTTAGGTAATAGTAAGACTGGACTTAGTCCTTTTTTATTATTAGAGCAAAATAGTGTATTGCCCAGAATTTTTCTTCTTGTAACTGGAATTTAGAAGAATCCAGAGGACCTAAGAGACCACAAGAGTCTACTCAGTTTTAAAGATTTTTTTTTCTTTTTTTTTGGTGGGGAGATACTAATATGAATGCTTTTAAGTTTTGATTGGATTAAAAATAACTTATTGTACAATCAATATTATACCAACCATAAGAGAAAATGTTTTAAAAAATCTTTTGCTCTAATAAATCATTTTATTGGTGGTCTCAGAAAACCAGAGCTGGTGCTATCTGTAGACTGAAACAGTCACCAGCCACATCCCTGATCTTAGGGATGTTAGAACAGATGTTATAAAATGGCATGCTGGCAGTACTGAAGAAATTGGCTTTCCAAGAGATGTCTGAGTTTTGGTTTTTGACCTGTGTTCAACTCAGGAAAAATAAATACAACAAAAAATGTTTTCTACACCTTTGTATTCTCAACTAGGTCTAACAAAGCTATACACAGAAAAATGGATGTAGTTCATTTTTAAAATGAAAGTTCAGATGACTTTTCCCCTTTTTTATATGTTTTTATCAAAAGATAGGTTTGGTGATTTCTCAACCATGTGTAAGTTCCTCAAAGGCAGGGTTGGTGGTTTTCCATTCTTATGGCTTATGGAATAATTTGGCTTATATAGACAATAAATGTGTTCTGAGTAACTGAATCTAAAAATCTAAATCAAGTGGCTTCTAATTGGTATACTTCAAAGTATAGATTTGCTTTTTTATTTTTATTTCTTTACCCAGTTGAGTAGCTGTTTTAGAGACTGATAGGCACAACCTGGGAAAACACACTTGATCCATCCAGGGAGTGGGTCCATTGCATCTGGCTCTATTTTCTTTGCTCCACGACATGGAGAGCAAGACATAAAAGGATGATCTCGTTGATGAAGAGAATAGGATGGGCTTGGAAAGTAAAAGTATGATCAATGCCAGGTCTGGGGAAGCAGAACATGTACACAAGATAAAAGATTAAAAACTATATTTGCAAAGCAAATTTCTGCATCTTTAGACAATATGTAACAGGCCTCAGGGAAAGAATAATCACAGAGTTTGTTGAATCCACTGAAAAGAGCTCGCTGATCCAGATGATTCCAGTGCCCACATGGATTTAAATGAACTGTTTAGTGGCAACTCCTCCTTCATTCCTTGATGCATGGACATGGTCATAGCTTATCCCACTGAACTGCAGAAGAAATTTGGGAATAATGTGACATAATAAGACATTCTGGATACAATTGGTGGCAGCTTATGTTAAAAGTCAGGGTTAAAGAAACAAACTTTCAGAAAGTTTTGGCTTACCCACTCTTAATGATAAGATGGTTCAACTGTTATCTATTATCCCAAAATTCAGTAGCCTAAAATAACAAACATGCATTATCTCACAGTTTCTGAGTCAAGAATCTGTACAGCTTAGTTGGGTGCCTCTGGCTCAAGGTCTCTCATGAAGTTGCCATAAAGGTGTGTTGCCTATGGCTGTCATCTCATGTGAAGGCTCTACTCAGGGAGCATCTACTTCCAAGCCAACTCTCGTTCACAGTTGTGGCAGGCTCCAGTTCTTGCAATATGGGTCTCTTCAAGTTGCTGCCTTACAATATGGCAGCTGGCTTCCCCCAAGGCAAGCAATCTAAGAGAATGCTCAAGAAAAAAGCCACATTCTTTTTATAACCTAATCTCGGAAGTGGTATTTCATCCTTTCTGCCATATTCTATTCATTAGGAGCTAATCACTAAATGCAGCCTCCGCTCAAGGGAAGGAATTACATAAGAACATGAATGCCAAGGGATATGGATAATTTGGGGCCATATTAAAGGCTGCTTATCACAAATGGCTAACCCTACATGTGAGAAAGCAACTCCCTTTTGTGAGCCCTCTGATGCAAAAGCTTCATTTATATGCCTTATAATTGTACAACTGACAAGTTTGAAAATGCCACTTTACAGGACCAAGTATACATTTTTGGGGGGGTTCCCTCCCCTACCCAAGAAACTTTCAAAAAGATTTTTTTTTTTTGCAATTGGCTTCCCCGCTCCTGACTCATTCTTGCTCAAGACAATTGAAAGCTAACCCTTTTGAAAGATATGGCTCCTCTATCAATCTCCTCTTTCTTACCTCTTATTTACTCAGCCTTTGAAATATTGGCATCCATCCCTTCCTCTCCTCTAAAACTTTCCTTACCTTTCCTGATTGTTTTTGATACCTTGTTACCTACCTTCTTGAAATGTTCTCTTCTTTTGGCTGACACCTTTCTTCTTTGACTTTCCCCCTACCTTCTGGCTGTTCCTTCTTACATTCTCTGTTTGGTTCCTAATTGTGCTCAGAATAAAGCCCAAACTCCTTGACACAGATTACAAGGCCATATATTAACTAGCCTCTTTTCTCTCCAGATTTACCTTTTGTTACCCTCTACTTCAATCTTAACATTGAAGCCATTCTGATGTTGTTTTAGGCCCTACAATGTGCTATGTATTCTGTGGCCTCTGGCCCTTCACATATGTTATTCCCTTGACCTCCCCTTTGCTTTCATGGCTCCTACTCACCCTCCAAGTTCTCCAGACCAGGCTTTCATGTACACGCTTTAATGTGAGATTGATAAAAATATTGTTAAAATGAGATTCTGATTCAGCAGGTTGGGGTGGGGCCTGAGATTCTGCATTTCTAACAATCTCCCATGTGATGTCAATGCTGCTGATCCATAGGCCACACTTTAAATCACAAGATATTATTCAGTGTGATCCTCTCAGATAAAAAAATAATCACAAGATACTGGAAAATATTCCTGACTCCATCCCTCCTGGTATCCAATCTTCCCCCGACCAGATCCAGGTCAGGTGCTCTTCTAATAGACTCTAACAGCACCCAATAGTCCCTCTACCCATCCATCCATCTGTCCATCCATCTCTCCCAGGCACTGTGTTAGTTGTCAGGATATGGTTATGAACAAAACAACCAAAATTCCTGCCTTCATGGAGCCTTTGTTCTGAGGAAAGAAGACAACAAACAAGGTCAGTGAAATATGTGCTATGCCAGAGAGTGATAACTTAAGGAGAAAAATAAGTAGAGGGGGATTGTAATTTTAGATAGAGTGCCAGGTAAAGACCTGAAGGAAGTGAGAAAGTTAGCTTACAGATACAGGGGGAAGACAGGGAGCAGCCAGTGTGAAGGGTTGACGTGTTCAAGGAGCAGCAAGAAGACCTTTGGGGCTAAAGCACATGAACACGGAGACAACAGGCAAGGCAGTTAACAATCAATCAATCAATCAAGGAAACAGCAGGCATGGGTGGGGGCAGATATTCTAGGGCTAGATGATCATTATGAGGACTTTGGCTTTTACACTGAAATGCAAAGCTATTGGAGGGCTAAGCAGAGGACTGATAGGGTCTGACTTACATCTAAACAGCATCATTCTGTCTCTTCTCATTATTACTGTCATCACCGGTGCCACCACCATCAGAGGTAAGCAATAATTTAGCTCTTACAATATGCCAGATACTGCTCTAAGCAGTTTATATATATTAATTGATTTAATTCTTACAGGAATCCCATGAGGTGAGTACCACTGTTATATCTATTTACAGATGAGAAAATAGCTCTTACCACACTATACTGTAATTTTCTTTTCTTTCTTCTTTTTCTTTTGTTTTTTACTACTCTGTCTCGTCCACAAAACTATAATTTCTGTGTCTTCCTCCAGTGCCTGGCTCCTTGAGGGTGCTTAGTCCATGTTAGTGGAATGGATGCTGAATGAAAGTTTTCTTTTCTCTGCAGCCCAAGAGTCCAGATCCATTCATGTAGGAGATAGTAATGTAAAGGGAATGATGGGCCCTGGTAAGTGGCGCTTCTATTTGTTCTCTTTTCTTCCAGCAATTCCACTCTTTCCCTTTCCTACCTTCCCTGCTTCCGCTCCCTCAGTCCCAAACCAGGCCTGGAAGAACTCAGGCAAGATAAAGCATTACGGTTACTAAGATTCCAAGATGTGGGCCTGAGTAGTCAGTGACTCATTTAAACACAAGGAGAGAGAAGTGCTGGGGAAGTTTAAGGTAAAACCAGCATTCTTGGTTCTTTCTGGCTTATTTCTATTACTAATGAATTAGCATTTGCTGAAAACTCACAGGTGAATGTAGCATGACATAAGTTTTCCATGGACCACACACTTTATAGTTTAATTCAAAAGTTATTTACTTAACAGATGCTCCATGAGAATTGTATAAATTACTTCATCGTTCCTCCTTCCCTTCCTCACTTCTTTCTGCAGCTTACCATTGTCAAGGTTAAGGGGATAAATTGTGAAAGAAGACAGAGTCTCTGGTACCCTTCCCCCTCCCCTTTTTGTACTTTCTTCCCGGCAGTGCTCAAGGCACCTGGTGTGCTCACCTGAAATGAAGCAGATATGAGTCAATACAAGTTGCTGTGTTAGTTATATTATTTTATAAGTTTATTTCGTAAAAATCCTTATTTAGTAGAGACTATGTACAAAGAGTAAAGGATGTATAGACCAGAAACAGAGGGATGATCTCTTGCAGCTGTGTAAACTTCTACTCCTTAATCGATATGTTTAATCCTCAAGGGATAGCTGTATCCAAACAGGGGCATATTAGTTAAGAATTGGTAACACAGTTTTTAAAAAAGTCGGATCTTGATAGTAGGTGTTATTTTTCAGGAGTGAACCCAACAACTCCAGAAGCAGAAGAAAACCTCAAGTCTTGCCTCTCAGCCGATATCCAAACCAAGGGCCATCTCTCATCTGGCATGTGGAGGCAGCCTAAGGATGGTAAAGAATGGGGCGAGGAATATGTCACGAAAGATCACCCAGATAAACTCAAGGAAGCTGGTCAAGGTAGACACAGCTCCTTGGAAAATGTTTTATGTGAAACCTCTTTAGCTGGTAAGTCCCAAGGGGAAATGCAGGCTGGAATTTTAAAGAACAGGATGTAACAGAGCTTTGAACCTAAAGGCTAGAATCTTGGGAATTTAGATTCAGTGAGCATATGAGACCACCTAGTCTCCAGTCGCTTTTTCAGATGAAGCAAGTAAAGCCTATAATGGTGAAGGGACTCACCAGAAGTCACATGGCCAGTTGTGACTACCACCTTGATTCTGGGTATTCATGACATTTAGTAATGCAGTGCTTTAAAAGAAAAAAAAAGGCATAAGGTTAA